CTTATTATCACTTCTCCCCAAACTCCTGTGAGATATGGAAGGTTATGTTGTCTGTCACTGAGGCTGGAGGCCTGAGCAGCTGCCCCTATTTGCTTTCAGCCTCTGCCGCCTTTGTTGCCATTGTTTCCAGGATCACAGTTTAAAGAACATTTTATTATAATAGTTTATTTTTACAACATTTTGTGCCTTTTTCCATCTCAGTTGTAATCCCTATGGGCTTCCCATCACTAAATATCACCCTTGTAGGATTTTTTTTTTTTTTTTTTTTTTTTAATGCATACAAGAGCTGGGTGTAGGCTAGAAGTGCAGGGAGGTAAGAGGATTCACCAGAGACAGAGTGGGGAGAACGGAGATCTACTGAAATACACTGCTGAGGGGAGCAGCGGGCGGGTCAGGAGAGGTCTGCTGTGCCATGTGGGTCAGCTCCCTGGCTGGGAATAGAACATGTGCTGCAGTGGCTGCTGAGAGCTTCCTAGTACTAAGACGTAACCCCTGTGCCAAGATCTTATTTGAATGACTAGACATCCCTTTTGGATAGATAGTAATGGGTGAAGGAGAAAACTGGGGGCTAGGAGAAGTCCTGATTAGTGGCCGAGATCTTCAGGACTAAAATGCATCAGTAGATATTGATGTAGCAAAGTGTTAACTGCTGGCACCCGGTTCTCTCTTTTATAATGCACAAAATTGATGGTTTAAGAAAAATGACAAAAATATCTCCAACAAAGTGTGTGTATGTAGATGTATAATATATATAAACATATGTAAATGTGTATATATGTGTGTAACATACAGACAAGTTAAAGAATAATAGTAAACATCCATGTGCCCGCCACCGCCTTAACAAAGAGTACTCAGGCCTCCCGGGTGGTGCAAGGGGTTGTGTTGCAGCACCATGAAACTATCTGCAGCCCCTGCCCCATTCATAGAGCTGACCTACATGGTGCAGCAGACCTCTCCTGTCCTTTCCACTGCTCCCCTCAGGCTTCTCTCAGCAGTGTGTTTCAGTAGATCCTCTGTTCTGCTCCCCACTATCTTTGGTGAATCCTCTCACTGCCTACACCTCTGGCCTTGTATGCATAAATAATTTTTTTTTTTTTTCAAAATAGAAAACTCTTAGGCCCTCCCTGGTGGCGCAGTGAGTTAAAGGGCAGTGGCAAAAGCCACAGGCACTTCAGTGCTAGTTTAAAAGCCACCCCAGAGGTGATCCACAGGCAGCCCTCTCCTGACCCGCCTGCTGCCCCCCTCAGCAGTGTATTTCAGTCAGTCTGCTTATTCTGCTCCCCACTCTGTCTCTGGTGAAGCCTCTCACTGCCCCTGAACCTCTGGCCTGTACCTCAGTTCTGTCTGCATAAATAAATAAGTCTTTTAAAAAACAGAATACTCTTGATTACATTCCTCTTTCTGCTCCAGGGGTAACCGCTGTTCCAAATTTTACATTTAACATCTGTTTGCTTTTCCTGATGGCTTTGCCACCTATATTTATATCCTTAGATGGTTTGTTGCTCCTTGCTTGTTTTGCCTGTGGCATACTCAGTTTTGTGTTTGTGTGAATCACCCACTTAGGTGCGAGCCGCTGTGGTTTCCTTGGTTTGCTTCTCTGCAGCATGCCACGGTAGGAACATGCCACGTTTCATTCTGCTGGTGATGGACAGCTGGCTGGTTTCTGGTCGTTTGTTATTACAGTCAAGGCCTTCGTGACCAGCCTTGTTCCCATCTGCTAGTGAACACGGAGAGGCGTTTCTCTGGCTTGTGTACCTGGCAGTGGAATCACTGGGTCATTAGGTAGTCATTACATCTTTAGCTTTATGAGATGATACTAAATTGTCTGCTAATGGGGTTCTCCAATTTATACTTCATTCATGGTCGGTGATGATGTCTGTTGCTCCATACCCTTACTGAAGGACATGACACCATCAGAGATTTTAAATATCAGATTTGTTACTCTATCTGCAGACTGAAATTTTTTTTTAATATTGATATTTGAAGGATGATGGTGGGGGAGCTGCTTACAGAGTCTGTATCTCCAAAGGTTGGTGGATGATGAGAAATTCTGCCAGTTTTGCCCAGAATGGGGACGCCCAGTGGGTGGGAGAAAGAGCATGGAGAGTAGGGAGCCCACTTTCCTGAGCCGGGCAGTCCCCCCTGCCCTTCTGCCCGGTATGCCCACCGCCCACCGCCTCTCAAGCCTTTCTAACCAGTACCTTTTGCTGGAATGAGGTCACTGGAATGCCTGGAACTCAGGGAGTGACCACGTGGCTCCTGAGCCAGCACACCAGCCCTCCGTGAGAAACCAAGGCACCTTGCTCACCCAGACGGTCTGCATGAAAGAAAGTTCCAGACGGGCCAACTGACTTCATATTTTCCATGTGAACCAATGTGGGAGGAAAGCTTCAGCCAAAGGCTTTTGGGGTGGAGCCTGGGCCAGGGGAGGGGGTGACCAGAGGGCTCACCCTCTTCATCATCACTGTGAAACCAGCTCCATTCCTGGGGGCAGTGTACCTGGAGGCTTTTCTTCGCCATTGGGCAGTGTGAAGAGTGGAAATGTTGAGAGCAGGCTCTAGACCCGGTTTTTCCACTTCCAGCTGAGTGACCTTTGGCAGGGAACGCCAATTCTCTGAGCATCTGTTGGCTCTTTTGCAAGTTGGAAGCCAAATTGGGTGCCCTCTTGTCAAGGGAACTCAGGCCCAGGACTAGCTCGGTGCCTGGAACGCAGGGAGAGCGCTGTCAAGGAGATCACCTGGGCGCCCTCAAACTCTGGGGCTGCTGTGAAGCCCCAGATTAATTTTTTTGTTTTGTTTAAAAAATTAATGTTTTAAAACTGAGGTTATTTCCCCTCCCTCAGCAGTTTGAGGAATAATACTTTTTAGGATAAACTCCTGCTCTTCGCAGCAACATGCATGGAGCTGGAAGGGATTATGCTCAGCTAAATAAGTCAGAAAGAAAAAGAAAAATATCGAATGGCCTCACTTACAGGAGGACTGTAGAGAAAACAGAAAAGGAATCAGAAAAAAAAAACCATAATAAAATCAAAATCATCAGGCAACTATAGATCAGAGACATTCTGTAGGGGAGGAGGAGGGGGAAGGACCAGGACAGGGGTGGGAAGAGCACAAGGGACCACGATGATGGAGCACGGGGGAGCTGGTGGTGGGAATTTCACAGGGAACCATACAGTGTACAGAAGTAAGGGTGATGTAATGAATATATTTTAAAAAATTAAAATATTATAAACAACAAAAAAGAAAAAGGCATTTACTTTTTAAAGACAATGTGCTCAGCAGTTTGAGGAATAAGAGGGAAATAATCACATTGGTTTGCTTCTAAATGTTTTTGAGACTCAGTCAACAGACAGACTGAGCCTTCCTGACAAAGTCCTGAGCTGAGCCTTGGGATCTAGGGGTTGGAGGACAGTGATTCTTGACCATTCTCAGCTTCCTGCAAGCTTTCCAGAAGCAGCCTGCTGGGCTGGCTTAGGAAGGTAGGCAGGATGGCCATTGTTGGGGGAAGAAATTTGACACTCAAAGGATAAGGAACTTGCCCAAGGTCCTAAAGAAAAGCTGGGAAAGCACTGGGCTTAGAACCCAAATGATCCCAGTCCAAGCCTAACTCTCCCCTCTCCCTGTGTCCTGGGGGGGGGGGGCGCCAGTCCCCCCAGGGTCAGCCTCCTCTGGGGCCTGATCTGCCTGGATGCTTCCTCCTGTTTGGGTCTTTGTTCTTGACTCTCCAGCCATGAGGAATGCTGTCCCGCCCACTTTGACTGTCCCCTCCCTTTGTTTTATTGTGGACACTCTGTGGAGCAATGCTCAGCCCTTAAGGAAGCTGTGGCAGTCCTGAGTAGAAAACTGCTCACATTTTTTTAGTGGAGACAAGAAACACATAAAACACTTGGGAACAAAGTCGTACACCAACTCCACCCAGGGTTCTAGAAGCTGCATGTTGCTTCCCTTGCTAAGCTGTCAATGCTCCCAGAGCAGGTCCTTCAGCTGTTTGGAAGAAATAAAGAATCAGTGATTCCTGGGATTTGTAGTGTTCTGCACTAGGCAGGTGGAGAGAAGGGGAGAGAGTATGAATGGGGCTTTGGGGTTGGTAGTCTTGCCAACCCCATATGCCTAGGGGCTTCCTACTGGGGTCACACCAGGGCTAAGTCTGCACTGAGGCTCCAGCTTGCCTCACCCTGAGTCCTGAGCCCCCAAAACCCCAGGACTTCCCCATGTCCTAAGTCTTAAAGCCCACATTCAGAGCCAGAGGCACCCAGAAGGGAATGTGGGGGGAAAATCGCCAAGATTTTTTTTGGGGGGTGAGGGGGACTCAATTTCCAGTTTCCATTTGGAAAGCTAAATGTATTTTCAGGAACTGGACTGTTTCCATGAGGAATGTTCGGTGTCTTTATTTTTGCAGTTTATTCCTTTGCTTAACAAAATAATATTTATGGGGAGGGGGTGTTGGTTTTAAGAGTCAAATATGCTCACAGTAGGAAATCTGGCATTCATGGGAACAAAGAAGATCACCTTCCCTTCCCTACTTCCTAGAGAAATACATGGCAACAATCTCCTTAATTATTTTTTTCTATATACAGTGTTATCTTGTTCAGTTCCCATTATTGTTGAATAAATGGAAGATGATTTCTGATTCACAACATACAGAGCTGCTTTCATGTACTTGTGAACAGCCTGGGACACTTGGAACAGCTGATACTGCGTCCCTCGTCCCCTCTGGGAACTGTGGGGGTGGGCGCAGGGCCCTCTCCTGTTTTCTCTGCACTCTTTTGAGAATGCCCGTTCCAGGTACAGCTGCCAGCACTAAGCAGTAGCCTCCCAATCTTTATAGTGAATCAGACGCATCCCAATTGTCTCCTGGAACCTAACTCCCATTTTCGTTTTTACACCCCAGAGTGCCCGAATTCGCTTCTCCTCTCCATGAACCCGCAGCCGTCTGTTCTGCTTTTCTCCCAGCTCACGCGTTCTTTGAGTCTTGGTAACCAGAATGTTTTGTCTGTTCAGGTTTAAAACCATCAGTGAGACCACGTGCTGCATATGTCAAGGTGAACCCAGGAAGACTGAGCTGTGGACAGAGCTGCTCCTCGGAATTGGCGGACACATCTTTGTGTGTGGAGTGTTAAATCTCCCAGGAGGCAACATGAAACCCAGATTCTTTACAGAGTAGGATGGGGGAGTTCTGAGGTCCTCATTCATCCCCTTTGTGTCTCAAGATTTGGAAGAAGCCAGAATGCCAAAGGGAAGTCTCCCCAAGCGTTGCAGACACTGGGGTGATGCCCCTGTGTATATAGCAAGTGTCTATGGCGCTTGGCTTTTTACTGGGCAAAGTTCCAGAACACTGAGACATCTTGGGATTCATCTGGTTTAAGAAAGACCTTTAACTCCCTGCTGGCGGTCTCCTCGGTGCTCTTTAAATAGTTAAGTCTTGAGATCCTTTCACTGTGTTCTCCTGGGCTGAAAGGCTGGCACCAGTGTAAAACAGAAGGATGACCTTGTTCCGTGGGCAGGGTAACTGTGAAAGGAGCTGTGTGTGTGGAAGTCTGTGGGAAGAAAGAAACACCTAGAATGTCCCTGCCAAACCAGTCCATGGAAGGCCTTTTCCCAGAGGCCCCCAATAGATCCCTGAATGTTACAGAAACTCCAGAGACTTGGGATCCAGGAACCCTCCAGGCCCTCAAGATTTCTCTTGCTGTGGTCCTTTCCGTCATCACACTGGCCACAGTCCTCTCCAACGCCTTTGTGCTCACCACCATCTTCCTCACCAGGAAGCTCCACACCCCTGCCAACTATCTCATCGGCTCTCTGGCCACCACGGACCTCCTGGTTTCCATCCTGGTTATGCCCATCAGCATCGCATACACGACCACCCGCACCTGGAGCTTTGGCCAAGTCCTCTGTGACATCTGGCTGTCCTCTGACATCACATGCTGCACAGCCTCCATCCTGCATCTCTGTGTCATTGCTCTGGACAGGTACTGGGCCATCACTGACGCCCTGGAGTACAGTAAACGCCGCACGGCGCGCCACGCGGCCGCCATGATCGCGGTGGTCTGGGCCATCTCCATCTGCATCTCCATCCCGCCGCTCTTCTGGCGGCAGGCCAAGGCGCAGGAGGAGCTGTCCGACTGCCTGGTGAACACGTCCCAGATCTCCTACACCATCTACTCCACGTGCGGCGCCTTCTACATCCCGTCTATGTTGCTCATCATCCTCTACGGACGCATCTACATGGCCGCGCGCAACCGTATCCTGAACCCGCCGTCTCTCTACGGGAAGCGCTTCACCACTGCCCAACTCATCACCGGCTCCGCGGAGTCCTCGCTGTGCTCCCTCAACCCCAGCCTTCATGAGGGGCACTCTCATTCAGCTGGCTCCCCGCTCTTTTTCAACCACGTGAAAATCAAGCTTGCTGATAGCGTCCTGGAGCGCAAGCGCATCTCGGCGGCCCGGGAGAGGAAGGCCACCAAGACGCTGGGCGTCATCCTGGGGGCCTTTGTCATCTGCTGGCTGCCCTTCTTTGTGGCGTCGCTGGTGCTCCCCATCTGCAGGGACTCCTGCTGGATCCACCCGGCCCTCTTTGACTTTTTCACCTGGCTAGGCTATTTAAACTCCCTCATCAATCCCATCATCTACACTGTGTTTAACGAGGAGTTCCGGCAGGCCTTTCAGAAAGTCGTCCATTTCCACAAAGCCTCCTAAGTCATAACTTGCTGGTGACTCTCGTGTCCTGACTTTCTTATTTTTCCTGAGTGTTGGGTGGATCCTGCTACCTCGGGCTTAGATTCGATTAATTGAATTGGCCAGCCTTCTTTTTCCTGTTATCTCCTTGACTTCTAGGACACCCACGGGTGGACAAGAAGTGGGGACAAGACTGAGGATTCCACTAAGTGTGATCGAGTCCCAATTCAGCCATGTTGGAAGAAACGTGACCCCCAGGGTACCCCATTGAGGCAAATCAGGTGAAAAACCTCTGACTATTAGCAAGAGCTCAGTCCCCAAGGGGAGGCTGTCTGGGCTACCTAACTTTTGTGTGGCTCTCATAGGAGGGCAGCTGACATTAATGACCTGAGTCGAAGAGAATTTGGGGTCAGAGTGGAGTAACCTCCATTCCATGAGGCATCTTGGAAATTCATTCACCGAGTGAGTCCTCCTCGGATTGAGTCTCTCCCAGATTCAATACTTGCAGTGCCGGGGAAAGAAAGTGACAGAGAGACCAGCAACCAGGGAGCCACCAGATCAACCACGCTGTGCTTGGCCTGCCTTCCCCAGTATCTCTGCACCACCTTGGTGTTCACATAGTCACCCCCACTGAAGGTTTTGGACTCCCCGAGTTTTGAGTAGCACACTATTCTGATGTTTTCCCCCAGAATTATTTTCTTACGTCCTCTTCTCATTAGAAATCTTACAGTGTTGGGTCTTGTCCAATAAAAAGCATGAGACATCACGACCAGGAAAGTCTGCGTGATTTTTTACCCCCTTTCCCTGGATGTAGAAACCTTTCGATTCATTTTAATCGTCAGCTAGGGCTGTGGCATTTGCTCTCTCATCGGAGTTTCATAAGCATGAAAATCAGCACAATGTGATGGTTAAGAGACCCTGATGTCGCAGTTCAAATCCAAGCACTACCAGGTCCTGGGTAGGTGGGTGAACTTGAAGGTTTCTTGACCCCTCTTTGCCTCATTTTCTTCATCTGTAAATTGGGGATAATAATGGTTGTGTTAGTGTATATTTTAATGCAGTACTGGGCACCAGAGCTCTTATTTTAGAGAGCTAGGCACTGAGCTGCCTGGGTCAAGTCATCTAAAAATAATAGCTACCATTTATTGATTGCTTGCAGTGTTCCTGTTACTCTCATTTGCTCATTATCCCATCTATAGATTCAGTAAAGAAATGTGCCTTTTCAGTCGAAGTTTTGGCAGAGGGGTGAAACTTACAGACTCCCCAAAGTTAATTGAGTCCTTGTGAGATAGGTGGTTCAGGGGGATGTGATGAAGCCCCTTGGGTAGAGCAAAGGAAGTTAGGGAAGGTTCTGCCAGGTGGAGAAAGCTTGGGAACAAAGGGTGAGAGGTCTGGAGTGTTTGGTGGGGTGTCTGGGCATGGGGAGAACAAGGAATATGGGCTATCAGGATAGGAGGGATACGGAGGGGAGTCAAGATAGGCTTGGAGAAACCCAGAGAAGCCTTGTGCTCACTGTCTTCTGGTGAGACCTAGACCATCTGCATTAGAATCCGCTGGGGAGCTTATGACCTTGGGTTCCTGGCTCCCAGCTCAGAAACACTGAGAATCTAGAGTCTGCATGTTAAATAAGCCTCTCTCCCTTGAACCCCTTCCTGAACCCAGAGACCTGCACAGGCTCACTGCTCTCCTCTCACCTGGTGTGCTCGCCCCCACTTGCTGTCCCTTCCATCTTACGTGGCTCATCTTCCTGATCTGGAGAAAGTCTGGAGTTCAGAGATTTGGCAGGACAATACACTATAAACACACACGCACATACTTGGACATTTCATACAAATGGAATCATACAACATGTGGTCCTTTGTGACTAACTGATTTCATTTAGCATCCATACTGTCTCATGCGTAACTATTCATTCCTGACATTACATAATATCCCATCTTATGGATACTGCATTTTATTTATGCATTCACCTGCTGTGGACAGAGTTGCTTTCATATTTTGTCTATTAGGAGCAATGATGTCCTGAATATGCTCATACAAGTTTTTGTGTGGACATATGCTGACATTTCTCTGGAGTACATGCCTGGGTGGAATTATAGGATCAGATGGTATGGCTATATTTCACCTTTTGAGGCCCCAGGCCACTTTCCAACGTGGCTGTACCATTTTATTTTCCCACTAGCAGTGCAGCAGTGTTCCAGTTTGTGCTCACATACTTGCTGGTAAATATTTTCACCTTTGCAGGTTCTATCATCTCTGTTACAATCACTTCTACCACTGTGGTGTGAAAGCTGCCAGAGAAAGCATGCAAATAAACCAGCTGTCTGGCAATAAATTTGCATTTAATAAAAGGGTGGCAGTTTGTAGGTGTGGTTGGCCCCTGATCGAGGAGTGACTGTTCCCCTCCTGCTCTCTTGTCCCTCTTCCCCCTTCTCTGTTTTACTTTTTGTATCACACTTACGCTAATGACGGCAGGTAGGTATTAATTCTTACTGTCTGTCTGGCACCTCTGGAGCACCAGCTTTTTGAGGGTGGCGATTGTATATGTCATGTTCACTGTTTGGGTCCCATCTACCATAGTACCAGGCATATAGAAGATGTACGATAAATATTTGTTGAATGAATGAATGAAATAGCATTTCCAGGTTTACAAATGACTATTCCTCAATGTCCTTATCTCCAGGGTTTTAAGAGGTGACTGAACCTACAGCGCCATGGCGCCTCAAAAACTCTGGGATTTGGTGTCAGGCGGACCCAGTCAGACTGGGGGAACTTCTGTCTCAAGACAAGAGGTGAGTGAGGAGGCTGGGGGTTTCCAGTGTCCCCAAGAAGCCGGGACTGGTGCTGACGTCTTTGCCTCTACAGGGCAACAGCCAGAGGACCAGCTAGCTTAGGATAAAGCCCAGCTGTTTTCTGGTCTTTGTTATTTTTGTTATCTTTACCCATGTGGCTAGCCCGTCTGCAGAACTGCAAACTAAATAGGTGACGTAAAAGTCAAATTCAAATTCGTTTCCCACGAGCTCAGAGGTATGTCTCAACGGTAGGTCTCCCGATCTAGGTCCCATTGGTCAGACTGTATCACGTGCCTACCCCTCAACCAATCCCTGGTAAAGGGGATGGAGTAACCTGAAGGTTTAAGCCAATCAGAGCCCTTTGGACAGAGGACGCTAGCATTGGGGGCCTTTCTCCTCCTCCCTCTTGGCACACACCCCCATCAAGCTCCTAGCTCATTCACACTTAGTGGCACATACAGCACGGTGCCAGGCGTGCCCGGGAGGGCAGGGCCTCTAGGTCGGAGCTCACAGGACCGCACATGGGTTCAAACTGGTTTAAACCAGTCAGGGTAACCCATCCCCCTTACCAGGGATTGGTTGAAGAGCAGGCACGTGGTACAGTCTGACCAATGGGATCTAAGCAGGAGACGGGTCATTCAGTGTTACAGACTACAGAGGAATTCCCAGGACTGGAGAGCTTCTGTGCCCAAACCAGAAAGTGGGACTCCCTGGTGGCTCGAGGGGTTCCAGCGCAGCTATCCGAAGTATCCGAAACCTGTGGATCATGAGTTCTATCCCTGGTCAGGAAGCCGACCCACATGGCGCAGCAGACCTCTCCTGTCTTGCCGGCTGCTTCCCCTCGGCAGTGCATTTCAGTAGATCAGCCTGTGCTCCCTACTCTGTCTCTGGGGAGTCCTCTCACATCCCCCGCCCCCTCCCCGCCATACCTCTAGCCTGTACCCCAGTTCTTATATGCATAAATAAGTAAAAATAAGTCTTTAAAAATAATAATAATAATAAAATAAAACCAGAAAAGTACCAAGCAAACAGGGACAGGGAGCTCCTGTAAGTGCAAGTCAGCTGGAAGTTTGGGCAGATACTCCCGGCTAGTGCAGGAAAGAGTCATGTAAGGAACTTCTTCCCTGCTTGGTAGCTGGCAGGATGGGAAGCCTGGGCAACCTTCCTGTGACCCAGTGGGGAAACAGGAGATCCCCAGAGGGCGCAGGGGACAGAAGCAAGTGCTGTTCCTTGACCACATGGTTGAGGCCCCCAAGCTTCCCTGGCCTATCTCAGCCTTCTTGTTAAGTGAGCAGTAACCATACATATGCATTAACACTTAGCTGGATTCTTGCCCTTGCTTGCTGCTGAACATATCCTAACATGCCAGGAAGACATAAATAATTCTTGCCACATTGCCCTCTTACAGGTTGGACAAGAGCAAGATTGAGTGGCACTCTTGGGTTGGCATAGTCTTGGGGTTTTGGGCAGAGAAGTAGGGGGCAGCCAGAGGGTAAGCCAGCAAGTATGATCAACAGCTTATATTTGCTGTTTAAGAGGCAACCCAGGTAGTTCCCTGAAGAATATGAAAACACTATTTGAAAAGATAAATGCACTCCTCTGTTCAATGCACACTGCAGACAATAACCAAATATGGAGACAAGCCAAGTGCCCAATGATGGATGACTGGAGTAAGGAGGTGAGGGGTGTGTATATGTATGTATATATTTACACGCACACACTGGAATACTATTCAGCCTTTAAAAAGATGAGCTCTAGCCAGTGATGACATGGGAGGACATTGAAGGGATAATGTTGAGTGAAATAAGTTGAGAGGCAGGGCTTCATCCCTCAACTATGATGGGTCATGATTAGGATGTGGACGCAGGTCATCAGAGGTATGGACCCTCCTTGGTGGTGCAGCGGGCTCAAGCACAGCTCTAAGAATCTAAAGCCACTTCAGCATGAGTTCAATCCCTGCCCTGGAGGTGACCCACATGGCATAGCAGACCTCTCCTGACCTGCCCGCTGCTCCCCTCAGCAGTGTACTTCATCAGTGGGTCTGTTTTGCTCCCCACTCTGTTTCTGGTGAATCCTCTCACTGCCCCTGTACCTCTGGCTATACCCCAGTTCTGCATGCATAAATACATAAAACTTAAAAAAAAAAAAAAGTAGGGCCCTCCCTGGTGGTGCAATGGATTAAAACATAGCACTAAGAAGCTAAAGTCACTTAACATGAGTTTGATCCCCAGCCCCAGAGTGACCCACATGGCACAGCAGACCTCTCCTGACCCACCCGCTGCTCCCCTGAGCAGTGTACTTCATCAGTTGGCCTGTTCTGCTCCCCACTCTGTCTCTGGTGAATCCTTTCACTGCCCCTGTACCTCTGGCCTGTACCCCAGTTCTGCATGCATAAATAAATAAATCTTTAAAAAAAACAAGTATTGACTACATAGTTGGTTTTGCAAGGGACAGATTTATTTATTTTTGGTGGTGAAGGAAAACTTTTTTTAAAAAAAGATTTATTTATTTATACATATAAAACTGGAGTACAGGCCAGAGGTACAGGTGGGCATGAGAGGATTCACCAGAGGCAGAGTGGGGAGCAGAACAGACAGAATGACGAAATACACTGCTGAAAGGGGCATTGGACAAGACAGAAGAAGCCTGCTGCGCCATGTGGGCCACCTCCCTGGCCAAGGATTGAACTCATGCTTCAGTGGCTGTGGCTGGCTTCACAGTGCTGCACTGTAACATGTTGCGGCACCAGGGAGGGCCTGGCAAGCTTTTTTTAAGACTTATTTATGCATATAAGAACTGGGATGTAGGCCAGAGGTGTGGGGGATGAAAGGATTCACCAGAGACAGAGTGGGGAACAGAACAGGCAGATTCACTGAAATTCATTGCTGAGGGGAGCAGTGTGTGAGACGGGAGAGGTCTGCTGTGGTCTATATGGGTTAGCTCCCTGGCAGGGATTCAGGTCTTGGAGGTGATA